ACCAAGATGTCCAGTTTGGCTGTAAGAACAGCAGAGCAGGCCTCAGGCTCTTAGCAGGCACTTGGGGAAAATTAAGTACCTGGCAAGCTCTTCCCTAGTGGCTAACAGCAAGGCCAACACTCTCCCAGAACTTGAGCAGCAGAAAGGCACCCAGAGACCACCTGCTCCAAAGCCTTCTTTGAGGAGGGGTCCTCCAACTTCAACTTGCAGGGAAAAGGCTCTCTTTAAGGATGCGCTTAAAGCATTTGGCTGTTAACCAAAAGGTCATTGGCTCAAACAAACCAACTTCTCCATGGCAAAAGACAAGCCTGCCTATTTCCATAAAGATGTGCAGCCTTGGAAACCCTGTGGGGCAGTTCTACTCTGTCCTGTAGAGTTGCTATGAGTCAGAATCAACTCCATAGCAGAGGGTTAAGGATAAGCTAGGCTGGGATGCACCATTTTGTGTCAGCCTCCCCTCGCTCAGCCCTCTTCCTCCCACAAGAGCTGCATAAAGCTGGGGCGTAGGCAAGCCAGCCAGGCAGGTCCACAGAGGAGACCTTCTGCTACCCCAGCCCTTAAGAAAACAAACACCCTTTGGCCTCTCTGTAGCTACGCAAAATGCAGGCCTCAAGGGGTGCACTTAAGGCCCTCTTCTAAAGTCTCTCTCCAGCCCCATTTCAACTTCCTCAGCTGTTTGACCTTTCCAGCAAGGGGCAAACAGGGATAGTGTGTGTGTGTATGTGTGTGTGTGTGTGTGTGTTTGCATCCTCACTCCCCTTCTAAGCAGCAACAGAGCAAAGTGGTTAAAAGCGTAAACTCTGGGACTATTCAAATGTGGATCCTGGCTACACCCTTACTTGCTGCATCACTTATCAGATGCCATAGAGTCAACTCCTACTCATGAGGACTCCATGTGTGTCAGGGAAGAACTGTGTTCCACAGTGTTTTCAGTGGCTGACTTTTCCAAAGTAGATCACTAGGCCTTTCTACCAAAGCGTGTCTGGGTGGATTCACACCCTCAACCTTTCAGTTAGCAGCCAAGCATGTTAACTATTTGAATCACACAGGGACTCCACATGAATGACTAGGTAAGAGGCAAGTAACCTAACCTCTCTCTGTCTGAACTCTCTCAGTTCTCTTGCTTCCAGGATAATCCTTCACACCCTGCCTCCTGAAAAGTCAGGTAAAAACTCTACCCATCCTATAGGTCTCTTATGAGGTTTAAATAAGTTTATTATGAGCTGTGTGTGTGTGTGTAAAGATTTAGAACCTGGAACCTGTTAGTCAAGTGCTATCTATCACAACTGCAAACTCCCATACTCATAGCTTGCTTTCTGCCATTACTCACATCATCTCCCACCTGGAGCTTGCTCTCCTACCATCCTGTGCCTCTCCATCTGCCCTCTTAAGCCCCTACTCTTCCAGAAAACTTCAGATTGTTTCAAACTGCACCATCCTATTTCGTAGAGAGATCCATAAATTTCCCCAAAATACTTTGATCCAGCACAAGATGAGAGATATCTCAGGCACTCAACACTAAGACTACTCTTAATGACACAATGTTATTTGTTGAGTACTTAGCAAACACCACACACTATCCTTAGCACTTCCTGTGGATTTTGTTACTTAATGCAACAATCCTATGGGGAAGCTAGTTTTCCTTCCTCCATTTTACAGACAAGAAAATGAAGGTGTTAAGTTCCTTTCATAAAATCCTGTGCTTAGTGGCTGGGGAAGCTGGGACTCAGAGCATGACATTTTTCAAAGGTAGTGCAGCATAGTGGTTGAGTGCACAGGCTGCCTGAGTTCAGGTTCCACCTCTGCCTCTTATTGGATTGTGTCCTTAAGCAAGATGCATAACTCAGTGTTCTTCAGCTTCCTCTTCTATAAAATAGGGGTGGTGATGGATCCTACTCCCTAGGTTGCTGTGGTGGTGTAATTAAGCACTAGTACAGTAGCTGGCACCTAGTAAGCCTTTCTAGATACTATTAACAAGATCCATCCCCACTCCCTCATTTTAATAGGAGGGTCCTGAAGCTCAGAGCAGGAAAAAGCCAGGGAGGTGGTGGCCCACCTGGGCCCACAGTCTCCTCTTCTTTTCCACCAAATGGCTTCCCTTTGACTCTGCTTAAGTAGGTCTCAGCTCTATACTATAAAGTGTCATCCCTGAGTCAAGCAGGCATTTAGGAAGGAATTGGGGAGGTCCTCTCGTCCAGTAGACCATGGGAAGGGGCTGCCTCTTCTCCCCTCTAAGTACTCAGGATTAGACAAGAGCAGTTTTCTTACTTCCAGGACAACTCTTCACATCCTGACCTCCTCCAGGTCCAGCCTGAATGCCACTCCCTCCTTCCCTGATCCCACCACCTACAGATCCAGAAGGAAGTGCTTTCTCCCGCCACCAAATTCATTCCCATAACACTAGCTCTGCCTCCCCCAAATGACATACCTTTCTGAACTGCCAATCAGAGCTATCAGAGTGCCAATGTCTCTCTGCATTCTTCTAATCCTAATCTTACCCTCACTCCACCCAGCCCAGACCTCAGAATACAGCTCCTCTTGTGAGCTGAATGAGTGAGTGAGAGGGTGAGGGAACAAATGGGAAAACTGAGAAAATAAGAGAATGGATGAATGGATGGATGGATGGATAAACAGGTGGGTGGATGAATGAGCTTCTTTCTCATGCTGGCGGTCTCATCCAAGGTCAGGATTTGGAGGTGACCTGAGTGACGGCCTCTGAGGCTGGGCTAGAGGAGGGTCAAGTAAACTCTTAAGGGAGAGCTGTAGGGTGTCAGCTCAGTGGGAGGATCCTATGGCAGGCGGATCACTGCTAGCTCCTGCTCAGATACCTGTTCCCTGGACTCTCAGCCCTTCCAGAACGCTGCTCTCTCTAGCCTACCTCTTAACCCCACCCACTCCAATTCAAAGTCAAATATAGGGAATTATTCACTATCCCCAAAAAAAGTCAGGCTTATGCTGCCTGACCCTCTGCAGGTACCTCCTAAAGTATTGTTAGTCTGGAATGTTCTCCCCATCCATCCTGCCCTCTATTTTCATCTGCCAGCCAAATGCCTACCCATCCCTCAGACCTAGCTCAGGGGTTCTCAGCTCTAGCTTCTCATTATAATCACCTGGGGAGCTTTTAAAACTTACCAATAACCAGTCTCACCCCAGAGGGTCTGATCTAATTAGTTGGATACAGTTTGGGTACATTTTTTAAAAATTTCCCTAGTGATACTAAGGTTTGAGAACCAAAGATCTAGTTTAATGGCCACTTTCTCTATGAATCACACCCCCTTCCATGAAAAACTCATCTTTCCCTCTGCGAGACCACCAATTGGGCACCACCTCCTCCTAGCACTGGCCTGCCCTCCTCATGGGAGGGTAGTTCATCTACACATCCCTCTCTCACGCTTCTGACAGGATGTCGCTAGGGACATGTCTGTGTCCTGTCCTCTCCCCAGCCAGGGCTCAATGCAGGCATGGGATCAAAGTATGGCAGCTCTCTCCACAGTTCCTGCCCACACCACATCTCTCACCTCTATTCTTCCCTCCTACATGCTTTTATTGCATAAATGTATGATGCAGGAAGAAGACCCTGGGCTGGGAGGCAGCATGCCTGGGTTGCAGACCATTCTAAGCCTGACCCATCCAGTGACCTAAACAGGCACTTGCCCTCAGGGCTCCATTTCCCACTCACCAAACAAGAAGTTTGCACTAGATTTCCTTTCAGCCTCTTCCAACTGTTTGCCCATCTGGACATCTCCCTGCCTCAGTCTCCCCAGATGGTGGAGACTAGAATCAATTCTCTACCTCAGTACACTAACACTGCGTTAGTGCAGAGAAAGAGTAGGACTGAGGAAAAGGCTTGCAAGGCTGTGAGTGGCTCCATTACCAGGTAGTGTTCACAGAGCAGCAACTGGCTAGGGAGTTGGGGCTCAGGGAGACTATTATATCTAACTGGACTGCAAATTAATTAAGTATTTAAACAGATGGTGCTCCAGTGGAGGGTCCAAAAGGAAAAGTGGGTCTCTCTGGCCTGAGTGAGAGTCCGACCCTATCTGTTGGGAAGCTGGCCCTTCAGCAGCTGAGACATAAGTGATACTGGGGGGTTCTCCAAGATGTCTCTACCCCCAACCTCCAACCTCCCACTCAGACCCTTCCCCTGATGACACTGGGAGTCAGAAAGCTAAGGGAGCCTTTGTTCCCATCTGCACAGTGGGGCAGGCAGGAGGAGAGGGGTTACATGGGACCACTGGTTCTCAGCCAGGGTTCATGTCATTCCCTTGGAACATTGAAAAATGTTGGGAGGCATTTTTGGTTGTTTTTGGGACCAGGGAGTATGACTGGCATTTAGTGGGGGAGGGGCTGAAGATGCTAAGTGCCTGCAATGCATGACTCTGCCAGCACAAGGAGGCATTACCCCTCCCCAGATATTATCAGCAGCCCCAGGAGAAGCACTGCACCAGACAGGCTTTAGGTCTGGGTTGCTGCTGTGGCTTTGTTCTCTGACTTCTAATGGAGTAAGCAAAGGACTCCTTAACCTCCTGCCCTGGGTGACCAGATTCTGTCCAGCTCAGCCACTGGCAACAGCTGTGTCCCTGCTGCCACCAGGCCCAGGCTGGCCCAGGCTACATGTTAACAAGCTCTCTGACAGCTTCTGCTGAACCCAGACACCAGCTCTTTCCCAATCCCTGTGGGAAAGAAGGCAGTCACATTCAGCCACCCAGAACAGCCCCAGGCATGCTGGCCCCAAAGTGGGGAACCCCAGTGTCACTGCCCAAAGTAGATCCAGGACTCTGTCATCCCAAGGGGCTTTCTTAAGTACCCAGGGACCAGCAGTCTCCATCACTGTCTAACAAGCTGGGCCCAAGGCAGGGAAACCAGTTTGAAAGACTGGCCTCCTCAAGGTCACACAGCTGGTTAATGACAAACAGGAATTCAAACACAGGACCAAATGACTTCAAAGACTGGTCTGGGATATGCTGGGTATGGCATACCCTCCCCACCACCCCTCTCACCAAGGAAGGAGTCATTCAAGCCCATCAGGTCGTTTGCCCTCTGGATCTTCTCCAGGCACATGGCTTGCTCCTTCTTGAAGATGCAGTCAGAGTGCATGGCAGTGGCCTACAGGAGACACATAGACAGGTGGGCGGGAGGGGGCTGAGAAGTCCATCTGCAAGCCCTGCTATCTAAGCCCTAGGACGGTGTCTTGTAGTGGGAGGGAGTCCAAAGCAGAAAGAGGATAGTGGCATTGAGATTTACAGGCTAGCACAGGCCTTGACCCAACTTGTCACAGATACTATGAAATCTCATCTCAGTCACCAACTCAGTTGTAAGCCCTTGGATGGGTCCCAACCCTTCCCTGGACCTCAGTTTCCACATCTTATAATGATGTTAGTAAATATATATATTGCACTTTATTAGATGCAATACTATTGTAAGTGTATATTTATATATATATATATATATACATGTATGTGTGTGTGTATGTATGTTAGAGTACTAAGAGGCAGGTACTACTGTTTTTACCATTTCTCATTTTACTGATGCAGAAATTTAGCCCAGAGAAGTTAAGTCACTTGCCCAAAGTCACACAGCTAGTACACAGTAGAGTGAGGATTCAAACCCAGACAGTTTGGCTCTGAAGATTACTAGGCTACTACTGCACTTTAGGGGAGAAAGATAGGTGTGGAGGAAAGGAGGAGCTCCTCTCCCCCCTGGAGTTCAGGAAGGAGGTATATCCCCCAGGAGCTGCAGGCAAGGAAGGCATCAAGGGAAGTCCAGGGGTAGGTTTCACTGAAAGGCCTACTCATGTATATCATCTACTCTTGTCCCATTTTACTGAAGAAGAAATTGAGGCTCAAAAAAGTTAAGAAACTGCTGCTCAAGGCCACACAGCTGGTTAGTGACAAACAGGAATTCAAAAACAGGACCAAATGACTTCAAAGCCCATGCTTTGCTAAAAGGACAGCTACTCCTAGTGCTACCACTTTAACTCAAAACTCCACGGCAGGGATGGTTCTGCAGGGGGTGTCAGTGAGTGTGGAAGCAGTTACAAGGCATCCATTGACTGTAGACAGTTTCTAGAAGGGGGAAAGGACTAGTCTGCGGTCACACAGTGAATTAGGACTGGCACTCAGGGCTCAGAGAACAACCTCACCCATGGCTGGTCTGAACGCCCAGCTTGGGTGGTGGAACTAATGCCTGAGAACCCTCTCCCTGACCTTGCTCTGAGCTCTAACCTGATACAGCCTCAAGGCCACACAGCTGGTTAGTGGCAAACAGGAATTCAAACACAGGACCAAATGACTTCAAAGCCCCTGCTTCTAGCTCCCTATTGGTAACTGGAAGCCCTGACGAGGGTCGCTGCACACAGCTAAGCAGGTTGTGCACTACATAACTCTAAAAGTTGCCACTCCCATCATCATCATAATAGACATGCAAGTCTGATGACAATTGCTGGTCAAATCAGTATTGGGTCTTGAGTAAGGGACCCCTTTTCTAACTCATACAGAAACCAAAACCAAACCAAACCCACTGCCTTCGAGTCAATTCCAACTCATAGTGACCCTATAGGAAAGAGCAGAACTGCCCCATAGGGTTTCCAACGCTGTAAATCTTTACAGAAGCAGACTGCCTCATCTTTCTCCCATGGAGCATCTGGTGAGTTCGAACACCGACCTTTTGGTTATCAGCGGAATGCCTTAACCACTGTGTCACCAGAGTGCCTTATTCATGCAAAGGTGTTGTATAACTCAGGGGCGATGCTGTTCCTGATTACTCTAGATCCAGAGACAGCATCCAGGTGAATAGAGCTTGGCTGAGAGGACACAAGAGACACAGGTCCTGCAGGGTGGGGGCTCCAGCTGATGGTGGAAGGGAACATTCTGGCCCTTACCATAGGCAGCAGGAAGAGAGCAGCTAGGGAGGCCTTCAGGACACCAGTGGCCATGGTGCTTCTTTGGAAAGCGGGTGCAGGTCTCACACGTCCCACAGCTGCTGGTCAGCCCCCAGGAATATCTGGGCTAGAAAGGAAGAAAAGGTATGACTTCTGTGGGTCCAGCAGTAGCTGGGCTGGAGACAACCTGGGTCCAGCCACCTCTTTTCTTCATTACCCCTCTTCTACCTGCAACCAGGCTTTCAGCAACCACATGTAATCCCACCTCCATGCTTTCATTCATGCTGTTCTTCAGTCTACTGTGCATCAAACATTTGCTGAGTACCTACTCTGCTAGGCACTGGGGAATACAGTGAGGAGCAAGGTTAGCTCAAGCCTCTGTCACTCTAGTGGAAGAGTCTGGAATGGTTTTCTCCTCTGCAGAAAATGCATGGTCTCCTCCAATCTTTTCACTCTCTCCTTCCACAGAGAGTGTAGCTGGGGACATGCATGTCCACCTAGAGACTGCCCAGTCTCTCTTGCTGTCAGGTGTGGGCATGTGATGAAGTTCTCACACATGGAACATGGTTTCCACTTCTACACCCCTTGTTCATAAGAGCAGTGCATGCCTTCCACTTCCACTCCGCTTCCCAAGTGCTATCCCCAGCTATGACCATGCAGACAAGGACAATACCTAAGGGTTGGGAGCAACACTTTGAAATTAACTAGGATCACTGAGTGATCTCACGGAAGACAGCCACTCACCAGCCTGAATGGCCTACTTATCTCCAGATGGTTCTGTGAGACAGAGATAAGCTTACATCTAATTTAAGTCATGTTAGAGGGCCACTTTGTTATAGCTGCCTAGGCTTGTACCCTAACAAATATGCCTTTCTTTCACCCGACCTCAACCCACTTATCCTGCAGGAGAAAACATTTAATACCATGATGTACAAAACAAGGTAAGTGTTGAGAATGGGTTCCAGCCTCAGAGCTGTAAGAGCTCCCAGAGGGTTAGTTTGTAAGGATGGAGGACTGGAGCTGCTAGTAAGGACCAGACTGGTCACAGGGCAGGAAGCTGGGGAAGCACAGGTACATTCCCAGGGGAGAGTCTGGCCTGCTTTTAAAATCAGTCATTAATGCATATACCCTTCAACCCACAGATTCCACATCTGGGTATCTATTGTAGAGAAATATTTATACGTGTGCAAAATGAAGTACAGTCAAAACCTGTAAAAGCCAGAATTCCCATAAGGCAGAAAGCTGTCAGAGAAGGAAAGCTCACTCAAATATTTTCCACTAAAGCAAATAATAGAAAAGTGGTAAGACTGTACCCTTCAAAGGTGGAAAATGTGTGAGACTCAGAAAAACAATCAGTCCCATCGAGTTCCACTTCTCACAGTTTCACTGTATATGAGAGAATATTCACTGCAGCATAATTAAAATAACAGCAGCAAAATGGGGCACCAAAACATCCATCATGCAGATACTGTTAAGTAGGCCATGGCATGGCCACACAATGGAATACTATGCAGTTATTAAAAAGATGAAGTAGGTCTATACCCAGGGCACCACTTGCCCACAGGTGCCTGGTTCAGGAGACACATCAGAGGACAGAGTGAACCCCTTCATCTGCATCCCCACCATTTGCCCTTGTACCCCCCACCAGTGAGCAGAAATGTCATTACCTCTGAGTCTTTGGTGCTCTGCCTAACCATGCCTTCCTCCCTCCTATCCCTGCCTCCTTCCCAGCCCTTCTAAGCACATGTTGGTGACAAACAAGAATCCAAAAAAGAAACAAAACCAGCTGTATGAAGGCCACAAAAAATGGCCCGTGTCTCAGCTGTTCCCTCCTTTGCCTACTCAGGGTTCATTCAGAGATGCTAAGGGAGGCATTGGATATCTCCAAGAGAGGCCCAAGGGACCACAGTCATCGCAATGCACTGGCCACTCAGGCCTCAGCCTCTGTGCCCCTATCCAGGCCCTCCAAGCCCCTTTCCTCCCCAGGACTCTGCCCTGGTGGCCACTGACTGCCTTGGGCATGAGCTACAAGTCTGACCTCAGCAATCTCCAAGGGCTTGGTCACCTCTACCACCTCTGCCAGCCCAAGTTCCTGCCAGCAAAGAGATGACAATCCTGACTTGCTTGGCTGGAACAGAAGAAGGCTTGGCCCCACTGACCCTCAGCAGAAGCTGAAGGTCATCTCTCTTGGCCAGTAAGGGGTTAGAGAGACTAGTGCAAGGCAGAAGGCCTCTGAGAACTAGGCTGGCCTCTCCTATACCTCAGACAACCTTCAGTTAAAGGCTGATGAGGACTGAGGTCAGGGAAGCCTCCAACCTGGGCAACGCCCATTTCCAGGAACCTCCAGCAACCCCCTTCAATTACTTTGGTCGGGGGTACAAATAGGCAGAGCCTGGATTCTGGTCCCAGCATATGGCCAGAGTCTGGGCTCTCTGTTTCTTTGGGTCTCAGCTCCTTTAACTTATAGGAAGAGATCTCCTTGTCTCTGTTCCTCATGGGCCTGCTTCACAGCCAACAAGGCCCAGGTAGGAGGAAGAGGAGAGAAATGAGTGAGCAGAATACGCCACCATAGGGACACACAGGGTTTCCTCCCTGAGAAACAGCCAGCCGGCCACCATGTCTGTCTCCTGGGGGAGATCTCTGTTCTGGGGCAGAAAGAAAACTTCCTTGAGGGGGAGGCCTGGCAAGAGGGACAAAAGCTCAGAGATGCAATGGGCTCTCCTTGCTCTCAGCAACAACTGAGATGGCAGCAGCAAGACCCCTTCAGGACTGGGCTCCTCCACATGGAGACTCACTGCCTCCTCTTCAGCCCTGCCCTGGATCCACATGTGCTCAGATAGCTCAGCTCATGTGGCACCAAGCCACACACCCAGCCCAAATGAAACAGAATCTCTCAGGCTCCAGCAGGTGTCAACATTTCTTAAAGCTTCCTATAGAGATAGGATTATAAAGCTCCTGGGTTTTCTTTTTGTTCATTTTTGTTCCTTTCTTCTGGTGAATATATAGGTAACAAAGCATTTGCCATTTCAACAATCTTCACACATATAGTTGTTGATGTTATGTGCCGTCAAGTCTGCCCTGATGCAACCCTTCCTCGGGTTTCCGAGGCAGTATCACTACGGAAGTAGATTGCCCAACCTTCCTTCCGAGGAGTGGCTGGTGGGTTTGAAATGCCAGCCTTCTGGTTAGCAGTCAATTGCCTTAGGCACTATGCTACCAGAGCTTCTACATATATAGTTAGGGGACATTAAATATGTTCATCATGTTGTTCAACCATCACTGTTAACTATTCCTGAATCCTTCCATCACCCTTAACAGGAACTCACTGTCCCCTACGTATTGAGTCCCTCTTCTCCTTTTCCTCTGGTAACCACTTGTAACCACTAATACACTTTGATCTCTAGATATTTGCTTATTCTAGAGATTTCATATAAGTGGGACCATACAATACTTGTCCTTTTGTGACTGACTTATTTCACTCAGCATGATGTCGTCAAGGTTCATCCACGTTGTGGCATGTACCAGGACTTATTTTCTCTTTACAGCTGAGTAACAGGAATTACAGGGCTGGCAAAGAATATTAAATATACCATGGACTGTGAGAAGAATGAAAAAATGTGTCTTGGAAGAAGTATAGCTGGAATGCTCCTTAGAAGCAAGGGTGGCAAGACTTTGTCTCAGGTACTTTGGACATGTTATCAAGAGGGACCAGTCCCTGGAGAAGGACAACATGCTTGGTAAAGTGGAGGGTCAGTGAAAAAGAGGAAGACCCTCAACAAGATAGACTGACACAGTAGCTGCAACAATGGGATCAAGCATACCAACAATCATGAGGAGGATGCAAGACCAGACAGTATTTAGTTCTGTTGTATACAGAGTCACTATGAGTCAAAACCAACTCAACAGAACCTAACAAAAACAAAGTATTTTATTGTATGTATGCACTACATTTTGTTTATCCATTCATCTGTTGATAGATTTTTAAGCTGCTTTCACCTTTTGTAAAGCCTCTGTTTTAACCTGTATTAGGACAGAGGGAGTTGGCATGGAAGAACTAATGGCCTGAATGGCTCTGGTGGCTTTAGAGGGCAAGCAGGTGGCAGGGGGCACACAGAGAATGAATTTGTGCTTTAAAGGCTGGCTGATTTTCTCATCACGTCCTCTGTGTTTCTCTTTCTCACACACAAATACAGAGAGAGAGAGATTGAGAGAGAAAGAGAAACAGGTTCACAGGAATGAGCAGAAAGACTTGTCAACCTCACAAAAACAAAGAGATATTTATTATGCCCAGGGTACCTACTTAAAGGTATCAATCAATGCAACACCCCGGATGCAATACACAAAGATGGGATTCTTTCAGAAGGTGATCCAACTGCACATACAAACTCCGCCCCACGCCCCCCCCATGCTTTCAGAAATGCAGGCACAGCACATTCACTGAGCAAAGATACGTGCAGATACAACCCCACAGCGATTTAGCTCTTCAGCTGTATTTATCAAAGTCTTCATATACGTAATAAGGCACACACATTTACACACACTCATCCTGCAAAGGGGCTCTGATATAGAGAAGTAATCAGACTCATTGAGATTCAGATTCGGGCACGTGCCACGGAAGTGCCCAGGCTTGCAAGATGCTCAGCACAGTTCCAGGCCTGGCGGCTTCTCAGTCACAGCTGCAGTGGATTACGAACAAGCAGGAGGAAGGGCTTCAGCCCCCTCCCACCCCGAGCTCCCTAAGTTGTCACCAGGCTGCTCAGGCAATGACGTGAATCAGGAGAGGAGTGTGCCCCATGTGAGTGACATAGGTGGAGGGGCTAAGGCACTCTCAGCCCTGGGCCTCCCCTAGAACAGACCCAGGGTCCTTGATTCATTGTTGCCCTCTCTCTTCACCCTCTCTCCAACACAGAACTGTGCGACCCCTCCCCAAATGGACACAGATGCTCACCAGCTCCAAGGTTGAGAGATCAAGCTTGGGAGCCCCTGGGCCTTTGCCTTCCTGCTCCCCATCTCAGCTCGGGGACCAGCTCATCCAATCT